AGCTGTGTCATCATATGTTACACCACTTTGCAATTTGCAAGGCTGAAAAGGAGGTTGCTTGAATGAGACATTCATGCAAGTTCTACATCACAACGCAAAACTAGCAGATTAGAGTTTTACATCATTATTTCGCAGAAGAAAAAGATAATTTCTTGCTAAGCTTATAAGAATGATCCTCAGATAATCTGATATGCGGTGGTATTTTGAGCTGTTGGGTTACTTTTAGAAAAAAATGTCGTCAAAGAAATATCCCCGACTTGTGTCTTAATATTTCCAGCAGCATGTAAGGGATTGTTTTCCAGACTTATTGCATTGTACGTTGAGCGTCTGGTGTACTAAATGTAATTTCTAACCCAGAACAACGGTAATCGGTCAGTGATATTTCAGACATGCTAAATAAAAAATGAATGAGTTACGATACTATTTGCTATGACAGGCTTTTAAGTTTTTTTTAAGTTTCTTCTTAGCTTTTGTAAAAGACAAAGTTAAAACTCGAGTACTTCATTTTAGATTTACTTTAAATATTTAATTATTTATTCTCTTTTCCGCATATCTCTTCTAACTCATAGATATATTTCTCTTTATCAACAGACTTTCTGCCTAAAATTATTTTCTTTCATAGAATCCTTTTCCTCATCCTTTAAAATAGCACGTGAACAAATTTGGCTTTATTCAGTTTATTAGACCAGAGTTTCTTAATTTGTAGTCCGTGGACCACAAGTGGTTCTGGAAGTCTTATCTTGTGATCCTCCTAGATTTTCAAAAAAAAAAAAAAAAAAAAAAAGATAAAAATGAAATTCGAATTAAATGCGTATACCACGCTATAAATCACAGAGTTTAGAAATTACACATTGCAATCAATCGCCTATCTATCCAAGACAAACATTTTATGAAATTTATTATTGGTTACCCTAAATCTGGACTTCCCACTCTAGTGGAAGTGCTCTCTTTCTAATCTTAGTAATGCCTACTAGTGGCCGAGTGGTAAAAACAGCTGAATGCTGGGAGTTCGACTTAGGTTCTGTCAAAGGTGAACGGTCTAGTTGCATGATTGGTTTTCTCCATGTGTGACGTGAATTCTTTAGAAAGCCCTCTAGCAAGGCATTCCTTCTCTTAATCAGATAACCAATGTTAGCTTTGCCATATTCAGAAACCTAAAATCTACTCTTAGCAACAAAAGACGGATATAAAGCACTATGACTGTGGTGCTTCTCGCCATCGTACCAATAACAACGAAATGTAATGAGCTACACAACTGTGTTTTAAAAATTGTAATTTCGTCTGTTTCTATTTAACTGTATGAGAAAGTGTTTTCATCACTAATGCAATTAAAAACAAAGTATTGAAATTAAAAATGTAAACAAAGTGCTGATGCATGTGCCGATCTTAGACTTAAGCTTAACAACATACATCCAAACATAAAAGTTGTGCAAGAATCGGCATGCTAACCCATCTCGCTAATTGTGAGTACTAACATTTACTTAATTTTTGACTAATGTTATAAAGATTATCCAAATTCTAATATCCTTGAAATATTAAAAACCATAACGAGTTCTCTTTTATTAACTTAGCTACTTAATATCGATATAAAATTAAATGAATTTTAATCAATTCCATTTTTAAAATGCAAGTATACTGTAACATATGCTAAAAATCTGCTTTGGAAAGGGTCAAGAATAAAGTGGTCAGCAGAACACTTAATTTATAATAGTGCTGTCCACTTGAAAAAAGTCTGAGAAACGCTGTATTAGACAGTTACAGAGAAATTAGATTACAGAAATTTAAGTTTTATCTTTTATCCAAGTTGTACATTTGAAATCATTCGTCATGTCGCTAAATGACTAAAAACTCTTATTTCCTTTCATAATATGCTTTATGTACTACAGAAATATGACTTCATTTTGTCTTTTTAGAGTGATTAATTCAAATACTTATCGGAAATTTTAAAACACTATCAGAAATAATAGGTAGATACTTACTTGAACTTCGAAAAATTTTGTTGTTTATGATTAATGTTTGTATAAATAATTAATTAAAGATGAAATTATAAATACTGTATGTCACAAAGTAAAGCGCAGGAAGTTTAATGAATGGAAGTTTGTTAAAAAAACTCGCGTCTTATGTCATATAAAACTGAAAGATGAATGGGAATTGCAAAAGGATTATGAAACAAAGTCGTCGTTTTCTGCATTCAGGGCATCCACCCTTGCTGAATAATATTCTGAGAATCAGAAGTAATCAAGCATAAGTCAAACATTATTAAGTTCTTGTTAATTCTTCGGTAATTAATCTGCACATTGCTACACACAAACATTGGACTTATCTTAATATGTTTCTTTTATATCTTTTTACTCATGACTGTTTAGAAACTTTCAAACTGCTTATTAATAGAGTTTATCAACTGAGTATTATCTTTTAAACCGAGCTTGTTTCGTCAGTATTCTTCTCAATAATCAGTTCAAATTCAGTTAAAAATTCAAATAATCAGTTAAAAATTCAAAGATTAGTATAATCTAATGCTATTAACATGTGCTCCGGCAAATAAACAAAGCATTGTTGCTGTCACTGTTTGTGATTTCCGGTAATGATAACAATCAAACTTTTAGAAACCTCTTAAGGTGAAGCCTTTCATGTACAACAAATACTTCCGTAAGTAAAGAGAAGTTCATCTTAGGTTAGAGTCGAAGAGTTTAATTGCCTGAAAGGGTGCAAATATGCATGAATGTATCTCAGTGAAGGATTTTTGACACCTTTACGTTGCAAGCATTTAAATATGCATAGAAAATTCGAAGTTTTGTAAACAAGTATAAGTAGTTTTGTAAACAGTTTTTGGAGAATTTAAGAATTAAAATTCGTGGTTAAGAATTAAAATTCGTTGGAGAATTTAAAAATTAAGGTTTCGTGGGGATTTATTTAAATTAAACAACAGTTATTTTAAGCAGCTTTCCTATCGCTCTTGCTTACAACTCACACTTTCTTGACAGATTTGCAAATTGACTACCACGCTTGTATTCAAATAAGGTAGAAGGAAGTTAGTATATTAAGGGAAGGTTTTAAAAGGTGAAATCAGAGCGTGTTCTACCTGCTTGAAGGCAACGCTGATATCTTTGTTTCTATAGCGATTAGATTTCTGTGGCGTTGAGCCTGTCATCAAGCTTGTTTATGCCGACTTTCAAGTCAGAGGCAGCTTGCCCGATAATTAGCCTGTGTGTTAAGGCTGTACTTAACGTCATTGCGCTCAAGTTATTCATTAACTTTTGAGTTAAGCCAAAAGTATTGGCTTTTGTAACCACGAATCAGTGCCGTCTGTGAAATTTATTTGAGTTCATAAAGGAGTCTTTAAACTTTTCTCCTGACTTTGTAGCACTTTTATTACGAAGAACACAGATAAAAAAAAAAAAAAAAAAAAAGACGAACATTTCAATCAATCACGGATTGTCTCTACCCATGACTGGGTGCATTTTTGAATAAATAAGCAAAATTTTACTAAAAAAAACATTTATTTCCATCAAACAGTCCCTCTTGCTTCAGATGTCAATTTCTAAGCTGTCCGCAATACAAAAAGAAAACATTAAAAAATTCAGCATGCAGGCTTAACGTCCTGAACAGCGGCGCCTCGCTCCAATTACTACTTCACTTCACAACAGCTTTAAATATTTAGTGGTAATTCACTGAACTTTCTTCTAACTTCGAGCTCAGTTTATGATTGTCAAGTCTACGTTATAGTTTATACAAATTTGTTGCATTGAAATAAAATCAACTAAAAATATCCAGTCCATGAGAGCTAGCCTATTTTTTCTTAAACGAAAACTTTCATGACTTGAAAGATTTCCATGACGGAAACTTTCTTCAGCATTTTTTTAGAAAGGCTTTAAATAAAATCTTACAGAATTAATAATTTTTGAAAATTATCAATTAGAAGGCAGCATAAAAGTTTCAATTTCTAAAAAAATGTGCGTAAGGCCAGTACTGATATGTCTGAAGCCTGGTAAGCCCGGTAGGCGAATTAAAAAGTAAATTAATGATACAAAAAAGTAAAAAAGCGAAATGTTTGCAATAATGTAGACTCGTGCAACCTTTACGGATCGACGGTAAACATGCGTGCTCTGATAATTAATATGAAAATAGTCTTGTTAGGTAACTTAAATCTTTTCCAAAGGTCTCAACGAGAACGAAACAGAATTTATTGAAAAACAAACATTGAAAACATAATTTTCAAGAGATTATTCATTGGAGCATCATTCATAAATGTATATAGATAAAGGACATTATATGCTTATTTTACTAAAATTTCTCTAATCAGTAATAATTAAACGGCTGTTTTTTTCTAGGAAAAAATCCCTCCCTTTTTTTTTTGTTAACTCTGATACTAACTCCTCGTGCTCCACAAAGTATACCACGAGGCTTTAACGAGCAAGTTGCAAGTTACAAGCAAGTTATCCTCCTATTTAGCTAATAGTAAGTTATAAGTTGCAAATTAATTAATTACCTTTCGACAACTAATTATTTTTCTAAGATGGAATTTACATTTACGTGAAACATTTACTAAACTACATTTACACGATTCTGTGAATCATCATATTTGAGTCGTGAGCATACTTTCTTAATGTATCACTAATATAAAATTATTTACTGGAAACATACAGAAATCTAATAATAAGAAAACACTATTCTTCATTACTAACGCTTATCTCTAAGGCTTCATGATGTTTCTTATACTATGATTGCATTGCATGCTTATTGACTGTAATGCAGAATTAATGAAACGTTTACTATTAATAATAATAAGTTATATGTGCAATGTTTTAATGTTTCATAAACTGGTCTGGAAAATCCTGCCCCCATCAAATAAAATATCTTAAATACCATCTTTCAGTAATTAGGACTTGAGTAACATGAAAAGCGTTTGAAGTTTACAAGCATGACTTCGTCGTTTGATATATTTTGTGGACATTTTTTTCAGTGTTATTCTAGAATAAGTAAACAAATGCTCGTTTCAGCAAAAACAATACGAGGAGGTAAAATCTCAAGGAAATTCTAAACCTTCAACAAGAGGTAATCGATGCAACTCTAAAACTGATGATGAGAAAACAGATAACCTGAAAAAGAAGAACGAGGCTCCACTTTTCAGTATCATCTTACAGCTTATACGATCTCCAAACCTGAGGAAAAAGCTTATTTTTCTCTCTGTGATTTGGTAAGCATCAATTTACAGCATCATTTTTAGCAAACTTCCACTTTACGATGCCGAGTAAGAAAACATTAAACTTTTAGTATGTTTATTCTAGATGAATAACTGCCCTTTTATTTCCCAGATGAGTTGTTACAGTCAGAGAATTTAAATAAATATAACCATACAGCTAAGCTGTGATACTTAAAAAATTTCTTGCTAACTAATCACGTATAATTGCAAAATGTAAAAATAGTAATTCTAGAAATTTCCGCTATTCACAAGAAGAAACTTTTTTTTGTAAATTGGCAAATCTCTTATTCTTTAGTTCGATCGGGATGCGTATTAACCATATAAATTCTCACCAAAAATTATGCTTAGCTAAGTTAGCCAGCTAAGTTAAAACTGTTCCACCATGTTTTCATTCGGGTGCAGCTGTAAAGCTATTATTCTTCTAGGAGCAAGGAGCTCGTAAAATCAGCTATGCCCTCACCTGGATTAGAACCGAATCTCTTACAGCTGCTAGTCGGATGTGTTACCCTTTACTCCATGACATCAGGCATGAAAGAATGCGATAATTCCTTTGCAAGGTTTAGCTATTTTTTTACAAACATTTGTGATGATTCCTGTAAGTTCCTACATCTTTCCGAATATTCTACTACTGGGTTACAAAGCAATTAGTGTAATGTAGTATTCATGTTGCATAGTAAATCTGAATACTTACTACATATATCTACTAGTGTGTGAACATGAAATGTGAAGCTTAAAGAAATTTAATCTTTAAGATTCACATTTTATGTTCAGACTCTAGGGATATGTAGTAAGTATTCATATTTACTATACAATTAATTAGATTAACTTTCTTTAGCATAACTTGCGACACAAGCGCCGTTCTCACTGGGGTTTATCTGAGCTAATGGAGTCAGTTCCATGTGTCGACTAGCTCCGCTATACCTGCAGTTCAGATTTTTCAGCTTGCTGCCCTATGGGAAAAAACTGGTTTTTGAAGATGGGTCGACTACGTTAGTTGTGTTCGTTAGCTCAGATAAACCCAGTGGGAATGGGAGAGTCTAAATAACATTTGTATTACACCTCTAAACTTAACAGTGCACAGTTTGTACTTACAATTCCATACTTATTAGATTTAAACTTGTAGAGATATTAGGATTTTTGGAAGCCAGAGAGATGAAAAATATGCAACCGCCTTCGCCGTGAATCGAACCACGGACCTCTGGAATATCGACCCAGCGTGCTACCGTTTACACCACGAAGGCACGCTAGGGAAGTGGAAGAAATACCTTATAAACTAACATGAAAGTATTGAAGTAAAATTAAAGTAATTAACTTTCCAAAATTCACAAGTTAAATTCCTATCAAGGTTTCACTCAGGATTCTAGAAACGCGAGCAAACGCGGCTAGCAAAAGGCTAACAGCGGTCTACAGAAAATCTGAGAGCTGGGCTGGAAAATATCACGTAGGTCACCTTCGCTGCCAAAATTCTCGATGAAAATTCAAGAATTCTGTTCTTATTTGCACGCAGATAATTAGCATTCTGCGGGAGCTGACGAAAGTAGAAGTGACAGCACAGAAAAAATAATAAGGCAAATAAGTTAATTAACAAAAATCTTTTGAAGTTTCACATTTCAGATTTTTAAACATTAATAGCTGGAATAAGTACTGAAGCTTTCTAGTACGTAATATGTGCTCAAACGGAAAATATTTGGTGTTGGGGAATTTTTATAATTAAAAGGGCAATTTCATTATTAAATTAATATTGTTATTCGAGAATATTTACCGCCGAAATACATCACTAGAGAGTACTCGCGTATTAACGCAATCACCTTGACGCAATATGCCATTTTTTTACAAAAGAAAAGGTAAAAGTTGCTTATCAGGTGCAAGTTTGTGGTTTTCGCGACTTTTTTTCAAAAGGATTCCCATATGGTATGCATATTTGTAGTAAGTTGGCAAACATTATCAACTTACGAAACGTCAGCTCGCTTTTTCAAAAGAATTGGTTTGGTGTACTTAATTATGGCAAAGCACACTAGGGTTACTGCCTAAGGGGAGGGATGCCTTCGTGGAGGACTTTCTAAGGGAAACTGAGTCGTATACACGTTACACATGGGGAAAACCACGAAAACGCCCATGCAGCCAACCCGTTCGCGGGATTCGAACCTCGAGACCGAACTACCAGTATTCAGAAACTTTACCGCTCGGCCGCTGGTGGGCCCTTCAAAAGAATTTTGTAATTATATATATATTTCAAATTAGTGTAGAATTTAAAACCTAACAAAAGCCGCTTAAATATTTGAAAGCATCCTATCATTTTCCTGAAACATCATGTAGAAATGAAATATATAAGAAAAGGCAAGTGATAAACTAAATACGTTACTACTGAAAAAAGGGTAAAATTACAGAGTACCAATTTTTTTTTTTTTTTTTTTTTTTTTTTTTTTTTTTTTTTTTTGTTAATCTCCTCCGTTTAAAGCTTCAAGCAGAACTTGTCAAGGGAAAAGTATTTCTAAGCTTCAAACCAAGTTGATCAACTAGAAAACGTTAACACGTTTCGTTCTAATGAATTCACTGAGACTTTAAACCGCTTTAACTGAACTCATATTCTCTTCTAACAAATTCAATTAATCTCATTAAATTCATTTCTTTCCCCTACATGTTGTTGTTTTCTATGCTACATAATATATAAAAGCGCTTCAAGAAATATAAAAATCAGAAAACATTTAAAGGCCTAAAAAAAAGGCTAACAATCAAAATATAAAGGAAATGAACCTCTCGAATACGTGCCTAGTGTGCAAACCGTTACACCGCCAAGGAATTCTGCAAGGAGGGAGAAAATACTCTCCCTTTTAAAGGGCGACTGGGGATTAGGGGTCCCTAGTCGCCAAATCTGGCGGTGAAGAATCATCATCCACCACTTTGCACCACTTTAGAGTCATTTTAGAACTTTTCGAAGCAAGGAAATCGAAGAAATCCGCAGTGCCCTCGCCAGGACTCGAACCCTGAACCTCTCGAATACGCGCCGAGTCTGCTACCTTTACACCACGAAGGCATGCGGAAAGGGGGGGCGTAAGTACCTTATAAAACTACTTTTTGAAGAACAATGTGTTACACTCAAGTAACGTTTAAATTTTAAAATACCTTCTTAAACATTTCAGTGAATGAATGTTCTCTGTAGTTTAAATACTTAAATGGCAGGCAATATTGCTTCAATAAGATATTATAAAAATGTTCGCGTAATTGTATTACACTACTTTCGGTACTTATGCAACCAGGCCAAAATTCGCATAAATTGCCAAATTTGGCGACCCTACTTACGGCAACCCTACGTGTTATACGTAGTTTCGTAAAAAGAGCATGTGGAGATTCACAAAATTTTCCTGCATTTTCGTGCAAATTTTTGTAATTTATGAGAAAATAGCAGTATACATGGATAAAGTCAAGAGTGTGCGCGATGCCATTTTTGTGCAATTCTGGGATGTTTTTTTAAGTAAAAATAAGTCGACGTGTACATGGCTATGGCGAATACGGTTTTCAATCAGTGCTAAAAGCAATAGCCAAAAGATTTCCGCCAAAAAAATAATTATGCAACTTATTCAAATTCGAAACCGGAAGGGTTTAATCGCTATTTTATATTTTAAAACAAAATAATATAAAAAACTGTATTAAAAATTATCTGCAATTAATAAATGTACATTTTCTTTCTATTCATACTTTTTTACTCAAACTTACAAATAGCGCCAACCTGGTTGCGATAATACGTAAGTACCCTGCTTTCTTCAACAGTATTAAGCTGTTGTATTTCCCAGTAGTCCCACTGTACACAAAACGTATTTAAGACTTCAAATTTTCCCTAGAAATAAACGAAAAAAATTTTATTTTAAAATCTTTACGTAAAATACGTTTTGAAACACCCAGTTACTATTCAGTATTTCTGTGTTCAACATGCCTATTGTCTTAATTTTAACCAGGCACGCGATATTTACTGCAAATTTCCTCTCATGAAAACAACCTGCCAATGTACATATTTGTTCCTTCTCTGTAACCACAACAAAGCGAGATGGCAGGGCAGTGATTTTTTTTTTTTTTTTTTTTTTTTTTTTTTTTTTTTTTTTTTTAATTTATTTGACTGGCTGGTCTTGTGAAAAACCGATTCGAAGAACAAGAATTTTTTGTGAAAAATGAAATCCGTAAGCTCCTGAATTATGAGGCTGTGATTTCAGAATTAAATCAGAAATAATTATTTTTTAGGCTTCACTAGAAAAAAGAAGTGATACCAGAGAAACATTTGGGAAATGATATCAGGATAATGGAGCAACTATCTGCGTGGAATAACTCATAAAACATTTCATAAATATTAAAACATTCTATTATGCTTGAGATAATCATAGAACAACTTCGTAAAAAATTTTAATAATATTACCTAATTCTGAAAAAGACGTCTGAAATAATAAATTTTTTAAATGCCTAACTAACGCGAAGGCAAATTTTAACGTTTTATTTAGCCGTGAGATAAATTACAGGGAAACTTTACAGCTCATTCTTCTGTAAGACGATAACGAATGTCGAAGCATAGAATTTGAAAACAATGCAAACAACTTTTCTCGATAAGTCTAATTTGTGATTACTAGAATCCTTTTACGGTTTCCTTCGGGTTATAGAAATTTGACTGGGCATTGCCTCAAAACTTCGAAATTTTATGTACATAATAATATATATATACATAACGTGTCTGTATATATATATTTGTAATAAAATTCCATAGTCAAGAATACACTTAAAATTCTAACTATATGTTCTTTTCATTTTTAATGGCGATGTTCTCTTATTTGAAAGTACGTGGAATTAAATCCACACCCCCGTAGTAAAGTTGCTTTTCCCGCCTTTTCTACACGTACAGTTATAGAATGTTCGAGATATTTAAAGATATTTAAAGATATTTTTAGATAAAAATTATTACACTATTTGGAAAATTCATAACTCAAGTATTAATATTAAATATTTCTAAACTTTGCCATGGTCTACTATACGATTTTTTTAATGTGAGGCAAGCAAATGAAAAGTGAATTAAAATAACATTTTTACTATTATTACTATATTATTATTATATTATATTATTGTTACTATTCTCGACGTTATATTGTAAAGTCATTAGGTTTATTTGGAACAGGAGCTGCGAAAAAAGGAGCTGCTATGCCGTTTCTGGCGCCTGAATTTCAGACCTTCCGATTGCTAGCTGGACGCACTTCCCAATTACACCACGAAGGGACGTGGTGAACGGGAAGAAAAATTTTTAATTTACAGCATCTCTGAGAAAGCATGCAATTGAATGCCCAAAATGTAAGATCACATATATATACAGGGTCTTTTAGCACAATGGATCCAAATTTTCAGGAGATAGAAGTACACCTAGACCATGGAAAATCACATAGCAATGCATGGTGGGAAACGCTTTCCCGGCGCGATAGCGACAACGTAAAACACAAGAAAGGAAAGACGTACAGGCTTAGAAAAACGTTTTTATTATGCTTAGCATAGCAGAAACCAAGAAATTAGAACAAAAACAGACAACGATCGTCATCAAAGAAGGTGTTCGAAACTCCGACCCCGGACCGTGACGCAGGCTTCACATCATCTCCGCCGTATGGAAGATCTGTTGTTCTGGAAAATACTGGGCGTGACTCAGAGTTCCCCACCAGCTGCCACGATGCATGCAACAAGTTCCTCAGCACTGTTAACGGGGGCTTCATACACCAGTGTCTTGACGTACCCTCAGAAGAAGTGAAGAAGTAGTCAACGTAAGTGAAATCTTGGTGGTGATCTTGCTGGCCACACCTATACTGAGTATACTTTGCATTCAGGTGGAGATGCACGGTTGTAATATGAGGGTAGCATTTTAACTGTGTGTACTCCGTCTCTCCTAAACGTATGTAACCGCTGTATCAAATTAATAATTAAATGCACGGGGTTGATCAATAACGAGAACATGTATCAATTATTAAATAAATATTTGCATTTATGCTTGAGAAATGCTAAAAATTACAAAATTCCTAATATCAGTTATATAATGCTCAGCTTATTCATAAAACACATGTACTTCAAAAAATTTAAAATTTATGGTGTCTTCCTCTATAGGTTTGCCGCCAGCATGTGCTATAATGGTAATAATTTAGAATCCAGTAATTTACCTTTTAACATGTACATCGCATACAGTGTCGGAGGACTAACTGAGATGCTTGGGATATTTTTTTGCCTTTTTACTATAGATAAGTTTGGTCGGAGATGGACAAATGCTGGTTGCTTCATCTTAGGTGGTGTGCTAGGAATAGTCAGTGCAAGCATCGATAGTAAGTACCCAAATTTTAATAAATAAGAAATTAATACGAAAGGAAAAGAAGAATTTGAATTTCAGGAAAATTCGCGGTTAGACTGCACAGAAATTATTATTCCGTTCTGACGTGTGTAACATAAGACGTTAGGAACACTTTTATCGAGTGCAATAATCGTTAAAATGTTTATCAAAATTAAAAATTTAGCATATTATAAACTATACGAATCAGGTCTCTAATAAATTACATCAAATATCATTACAAATAAAATAAATTATTAAGTACTCACATTACTTTCAAATCGCTCAATTAGATAAGCATTACTTCGAAAGATAAAGATCTATTGGCGCTTTTAATGGCAACGCGTTGAGAAATGGCAGTTAGTCAGGCCACATGAATTATAAAGTTGTTTTGAAATGCGCGACTGCAGCATTTACAAGGTCTCATGGATTTTAAGAGCCCCATTAGCGTAAAGTGACGTATCGACAACGTAGCATTTGGGCTCAGGTCTTTTGCGTACATATAACACATTAAATCATTAACTTTCATTTTGCATGCTCTCTTATAAACTGCATTCTAAGCAAGTACTCATCAAAACAACTTTGAGTTAACATTGCATCGTCGTGCGTGAAAGAGCCATGCATACACTACAAATTCGTTCTAATAAATCTCCTCAAGCATTAATTATAGAGGCATATGATATCTAAGCGTCAATACGCGAAATCAAAAATAGAAAAAAATGAAGCCGTTAATTTCTTGCCGGTGGATTTTAGCCGTATACGTCTTCTGCAAGGACGAAGAAGGTTATTTACATTTAGAAAACAAAACCATCAATATGTCTCTCATCTATGACCGAAATCATCGTTACTTAGAAATAAAAGTAAGCTATGTAAGAATAGAAAGTAACTAGAATCATCAAAAATATTCTAAAGCCCAAATTAACTGATAACATGTTCATTCCACTAAAAACTAAGCATACGCTTCCAGCTACCTCTGATAGATTTTTCTGTATTTTTTCCTAGCGTAATGCCAATATTGCTTCAAAAATGAAGTGTTATCATCTAGAGGACTTCAAGTGCTTTTATATTATAACTGCATTAAGTAATTGTTACCTTCTATATTTTTGCAGCAAAACAAGCAATAATGGTCCTTGCTTTGGCAATGAGATGCTGCTACGCCGCTGCATATGATATTACTTTCACGTTTACAAATGAGTCATTTCCCACAGTCATTCGTGGAAGAGCCATCTCGTTCGTTCGCACGTTTGGAGGCCTGGGAAGCACTGTGTCTCCCTTTGTTGTACGTTTGGTACGTATGTGTCCATTATGTTTTCTCTTGTGTCCACCTGTACTTAGCGGATAAAACCATCGAAAACATAGATAGGTGGCCGTGGGTTTGATTCTAGATCTAGGGATGTGCTGGTTGTGTGGCTGGTTTACACATTTAGCCAAACGTTTATAATTTAAGTCTGTTTTATGCCCAGTTCTTCAGAGCTTCCAGTCTCTGTGAATGCATTTTGTACCTCTGATGCCCAATTCTTCACAGCTTTCGTGTAATTAACATATTCTATGGCCACTTGTAATTAACACCTTCTCTCGTTGCTTGCAATTCATTTACTTAATTTTTAAAAAGGTAATTGTATTTCTGTGTTATTTTAATATTTCATATTCTCCGTACCTTCTTTCTGACTCTGAAAATTCCCTCTCTTTTATGTAGAGTTAAAATATTAAAAGTTTGTCCTGTAGAATATCATAGCTGAAAATTTTGCAATCATCTTCCTAGGAAAATAAGTAAACATTGATCCCATCTACACCATTTCCAGCCATAATATAGTTCCTTGAATACAAGTGGAAGATTCTCGATCTACTTTGCCTTGACCGACAATCTTCATTTTGACAGATATAACGTGAAATGTTGACAAAGAGCTTTTTAGTGACTAATATCGGAATAAGTTCTAACCTGTATCATAAGAACAATGAATGAGGACATCAGATAGAAAGGACAATATCTTCATCCAAGTTAAGATCTGTTATGGCACTTGTAAGGAATAAATCCATTCCATTAATTGCCACAACCCGGTTTAAGTATTCAACTTTTTTAATAATTAAGACTTTCCCTTCTTTTTGTACTACATTACTCTTCTATTCCATTGGATGTTCTGCTACTTCTCACTACATTAGCTTTCAGCATTACAAAATGTATGGTTTTCAGAAAATTTTGCATTTGAATATTTTTATGAAAATTCAATACGAAATTTCGCAGCTTGTTTAACTTTACATTATGCTGCACTGAAGAAATTAATTAAGAGTAGTGTTACTTTAAAAAAATTTCCTGCCCGACCGTAAAATAAATCTAATGGATTTTGTTTCTAATAAAAGGTGAATGGTGTTCCGCATGGTAAAAGGGGGAATATACTACCGAGTTTTTGATTTAGGATGCAGGAAAATGCGAATTATTTTTTGAGTTCAAGCTGAATTATTTACATTCAACCAGATTTCACTAAATTGAAGAACATAGATGTATTTCATAATGCCCCAAACGCAAAATTTTGTTAATGTGTTTTAAAGATATTATAACTTATTTCACCTAAAATTCTGAATACGAATCTTAATATAGATGCCCAGTTTAATTATTTTACATATCTAAAATAATTATTTTCATTTCAGATTTTACCTTTATTTGACTTAAATGAAAATATTTTTCTTTGTTTGAAAAACATGCTTTAAATTATTGATATCATGGTTATTTAATTTCATTCACTTTTAAATCCATCATAGTGATGCAGTTTGGAATAAAACAGATTTGTTTTCTCTCTTTGTTCCATCGAATGTCTGAATGTGGTTCATAATATTATTGTTATCTCATTAAAATGTGATACTTGCAAAGTTTCATGGATTTAATTTGTGTGAGCAGAAAATTCATGACTCGAATTTCTTTTCATTTTTTAATGTGAATTTTTTTCCGTCGTAACTTAGGCATTGCGAAATTTAGTTATTAATTCTTATCACACAGAAATATTTCAATAGGAAAAGTATACTAAAATTAAAAGTGGAAAGAGCTAAGTTTATTTTAAGAATAAAGTTATATGCTGTTATGAAGTATAGAAATAACCCACACAATTATTGCGCCAAAAAAAGAGAGCAAATCGCCTTAAATGCGCTTCAGAGTGTATTGCAGTAAACTCCAATTATTGGAATTAACAGGGATAGCTCAATCATATATTCGAAAAATCAGATTATCGAGCTGTATTTTTTTCTCTGAATTTAATACGTATTTGCTTTAAAGTAAATCAGAGATTTTATTCATCTATTACTGTATTTTGTTTCAAAAAAGATTATATAATTCAAAAATAAAATGTCTTCTGTTTCTGTAAAATATTGGACTCATTATATTCTCCTAAACTTGAGTATCTTCTGCCTCCCTTAATTTTTGAACGCACAGTTAAAGCAATTTTTAGGAATCACTCTTATTGCTTTATTTTTGGAACAATATTCTATTTTGCATATTATAACACAGGTACAAAAATTATTTCTCGGTCTTTTATTTTAAAATGAATCTCCTTTGTGACATTTTAGATAATAATCGTATTGCAGCATTATGCAAAATACAAAGCATTTATTGAACTTGCTACAACTTTGTTTAGAGGCATTCATCAAATGAGTGTCCGAAGAGTTACCAACACGAAAAGTTTTCAATCGTGGTAATTTCAGAAAGAAAAATTGGTACAGGTCATTATAGCTTAATTTTTCGAGGAACTAAAATAATAAAAATAATTTAATTTACCTGAACACACACATATTTATGTTCGAAGAGGAATAAAACAAAGAAACAAGGTTATTTATTATTTTTAATGTAGTCACTAAATCTAAAAGCATAATCCCAATTTTATTATATTCGTAGAGTCAAAGTTTTAACAAAAAAGGAAATTCACTAGAATTCGAACTCCGGACCTTTCGAATCCTAACCAATCCGGCTTTCCATTGCACTATGAAAGCTATTAACTTGATCGTTTACCTAGCTATTCTTTCTGGATCACATTCCCATGATCGCAGCAACATCAACGTAGTCGATGTTTTTACTTTTTCCTACATTATTGAGCAAAATTCAATTTTCAACATAGAATCATGAAATTGTTGAAATGGGCTTTTTGCGATCAATACAATGAAAAGCCAACTCAGTAGAAAGCAGATGCATATACAAATAATCAGCACTATGACATCAGGAGGTACGACACGCCCAAAATGAAGAGTCAGCGCCCGTAGAGCAAGGCATCTTAAAAAGAAGAAATGAAAGTGAATTTCTGGGCATTCTTATAAAAGTGAATTATCGCAAGTGAAATATGTGCAGTATGGCTACGAAAACATCAAAATGCTTTTACACGTGGTAGAGCGATTGGCAAGCTTGAGGAAGAGCGCGGTTTTACGTCTATTACCCAAAAGTTTGGAAGTAATAAAAATATTGTTTCACAAGCTTGGAAAGCTTTCCCAAATGACAAGTCCAGCTGTAAGAAAGGAAGTTAGTAGTTGTCCTAGGAAACAACGGTGAGTGATGATCCATATATGCGCTATAGACGAAAAGAGATCGAAACCAGACAGCGAGCAAATTACGTTTTCCTTGCTTTCATTCAGACTCATTATATTGTCCTAAACTTGAGTATCTTCTATCTCCCTTAATTTTTGAACGCACAGTTAAAGCAATTTTTAGGAATCACTCTTATTGCTTTATTTTTGGAACAATATTCTACTTTGCATATTGTAACCCAGGTACAAAAATTATTTCTCACAGTCTTTTATTTTAAAATGAATCTCCTTTGTGATATTTTAGATAATAATCGTATTGCAGCATTATGCAAAATACAAAGCATTTATTGAACTTGCTACAACTTTGTTTAGAGGCATTCATGAAATGAGTATCCGAAGAGTTACCAACACGAAACGTTTTTAATCGTAGTAATTTCAGCAAGAAAAATTGGTACGGATTTCAGCAAGAAAAATTGGAGTCTCTGTTAATATTATAAAAGACTTTTAAAATGAAAAATTTGAAGGGGATATAAGCAAAGTCCGAACAAACGCTTAAGTTTCTCTAACCATCAACATTTTAAAGGCTTTGAATGCGAGGTAAGAAGGAAGAAAGCTAACACTGTAAAACATTTAATTTTCAGTTTCTTTGAAAGCTTATCAGGTTCAATGTTTCTTCTAACCTTCTTCGGAAACATACAATGACCTGACTAGAACAGAGAGCTTACTAAAGCTATGTTCACTAATTGTAGTAAGTAGACAGGATACAGACGAAGGGTATACAAAACCCTTTATTTTTTTTCTTTATATACAATGACTTCCGTACTTCGGAATACAATGACCCTCCACTCGGGGTCTAACTTAAAAGATATCAAAATAAAAACTAAACTCTAATTTAACTTTAGAATAAGATTGGCCTTATAATAACAGGAAGCGTATGTAGCACAGAGACTGTGAACACTACAATACGTTTAATTTATCAAGAGGATTAAAACCTCTGGCCTGGAAGGCAAAGTAGCAACTGCGTAACTTCTAAGGTAAGCGGCCTGCTTCGAACTCACGGCTTCCTCTCTTCTGCTTGGCAAAAAGGCCACACTTAAATAGTTGGCGTTCGCCAGACAACTTTGCATAAAAACTCCTTCACGCTTATAATTCTGGCCGGAAGTAGAAAATAAGAAGTGATAGTAAAGATTTAAAATAAAATAAACGTTAGTAAAACTTAAGATCCTTACATACTTCCCGCCAGAGTTAATTAGTTTGAAACTGAGGTCTAAAACGACCTTGTTGAAAACTTTTAGCTCTAGAAACTAACGCGAGGCCAAACTTTTACAAACATAACTTAGCTAGAAACTAGAAAATTTTAAAAGAAAGAAATTTGTTACAATAGCAGCTCCCGGAATATACAACAATCTTTTTTCTTTTTCATCTGTACTGCATCAAAACAGGAGCTTTATTCAATTCTGGTTCCTTCCAGAGATCTGGAAGGAAAACTAGTTTAATGAAATGTTACAGAATGACATTGCAAATAACATATAGAATATACTTTCTTAACATTCTTATTTCATTCATGACTATTTTAATTATCTCTCCCCGTGCTCTCTGACATGTGTTGTAAAAAACACCAAACACGAATGTGTTTCTGTCTATGTGTTCAACACTTCCTCCTACAATCAAAACACTAACGTGTTAAAATTCAACATACGAGACCTCTTAACACACCCTAATTTCAACTCTAGACCCTGAGGTACTATTCTGAAAGTGGCTAACTCTAAAGTGTAGCGTCAGAGAGCC